ACATACATACTTACGTACATACGTACGTTCGTGTGTACATATATATATGTATATATATATATATACATACATCAGAAATCGCTCGGTAAATAATTAATATGTAATCAGACTCCGTTTGTGCGCGAGTAAAAGGGACACGAATGCTTAGGCTTCTCGTGCCCGTAGTATAAGATAGAAAGAGAGAGAGAGAGAGAGAAGAATAAGAGAGAAGTAGCAAAGGGCGCTATCGAGGCAACGCGAGAACGAAGGGTGTTTGCTGGCAAACATCGTGAAGAGCCTCTTAACGTGTCCTAAACGTTCGCGTAGGGTTCTTTTTGTGACGCGAAGTTGACGTAGAAGATGGAATTGGAGAAAGAATGAACAGAGAATTCGCCGTTCGAATTTTCTTCCTCCTTCTCCTCCTTTTCTTTTTTAGTTTTTTTTTTCTTCTTTCTTTCTTTCTTTCTTTCTTTCTTTCTTTTCTTTTTCTTTCTTTCTCTTCTTTTTTTTTTTTTTTATCTCTTTTTTCCTTTATCTTATTTGCGAAAGTCTACTCGAGTAACGTTCTTCCCTTCTACAAAATAAATTCGACTTTCTTTCGAATCGTACTCTTCCCATATCTTTGACTGTCCAATACAAATATTATTACGGATCGATCGAGTTTCGAAGAATTCGAGGACAGAGACGTTTTCACCACGAAAGTGGACAAATTTAAGAGTTCGTGTTATAACGGACGTCTCTCAATTATCGTACGAGGGTGAGAGAGAGAGAGAGAGAGAGAGAGAGAGAGAGAGAGATGGAGGAGTAGAAGAGAGGAACCTCAATGCCATCCGATTGAGGCACGCGCCGTCGCTTAGAGCCTCTCTTCGAGGTTCGAGGGCCCTCGAATCGATTCGAGTCTCGTGGCACACTTCGGGGTAAATTAAGTTCCGCTGCTGAAATATGTCTGCGTGCCCTCTTTGTGTCTTTCTCTTTTACTTGCTACGTAGACGAATGAATTTGATCCTTCGCAGATCCTTTAGAAATTACATATACATATACATATACATATACATATACATATACATATACGTATATATATATATGTATGTATAAATATATTTTATTTTATATCATAGGTGAGACGAAAGAAAGAAGGAAAGAAAGAAAAAAAAAAAAAAAGAAAATTCGATAAAATTTCGAGATGGAAATGGGATACACGTCTACTCGATTGGTCGATTAATACGAAATGACCTTAAGGAGTAATAGTAAAGTTGACGAAGGAGACCCACGAGGAAGCAAAAAGGGGATAGTCTCGTGGTAACCTCCTCCAACTCGACGCATGCTCAATTAAGCATATTCAGGGAAAAAATTTACTGGCCAAATTCTGCGCGACAGCCCGTAAAGTCCGCTGGTCTCGTGTTCAGGACGCAGAACGTTGGAAGCCGAACGAGAAAGAGAGAAAGAGACACAGCAAGAGAGAGAGAGTAAGAGAGAGAGAGAGAGAGAGAGAGAGAGAGAGAGAGAGAGAGAGAGAGGGACAGTAAAAAAAGGATGCAACGGAAGGAAAAAGAAATGAAAAAGGAAAGGAGAAGGTTCCATTGAGGCAACTTTGTATCGTTTTTCAAAGACTCCCGTTTCTTCATCTTCCTTCTCTCTCTCTCTCTCTCTCTCTCTCTCTCTCTCTCTCTCGCGACTTTATAGTTTCTTTTCTCCTTTCGCTACTTTTTCTTTTTCTTTTTTTGTCTTCACAAGAGCAAAGAAGAAGACGAAGAAGAAGAAGATCGTACGGCTCTGCTGGGTATAAGATTTCACGTATATACGCGAGATGGATCAGATTGGGTCGGCCTTAAGCCGTCGCAAATTACCCCGTAAGCCTTTTAGTCGCAGTGTGTGTTTCGTTGGCTGCACCCTAACTCCCCACTACCTTCCACTCGCGACCACCGCTTTCGTTCCTTCCTTCCTCTCTCCCCTTACATCTCCTTACACCCCTTCAACTTCCTTTACCAACATCACTACTACAATCATTTCCAACACCACCCTCTTCTTCCTCTCGTACTCCTTAAAGCATCGTTATTATTTTGTTGCTCCATACTATTCCAGAAAGCCCCAAGGGGTTTTGGCCAGCTCATTCTAAAGGGAATCTAACGGGAGTTTCTATCAGAATATACCTTTGCTAATAATTCTGTACATTGGTGAACCAGTTGGATAACCTCGCTTCAAGATAAATATTGACGGGTTTGATAACGACGATAATTAACGTTCATAGAAACATCAAAAGTGTGACACAACTGAAAGGTATTCTCTTTTATTCTTTCGTTTTCTTTTCTATTATTCTTTTTTTTCTTTTCTTTTTTTTTTTTGACGTTCGAAATCAATAGAATTCGAAGAAGGATATAACGGTATATCTTCTTTACTATAACGTTTGGCAGGACTAACATTATCAAATGATGAAGATATGAGAGAGAAAGAGAAAGAGAAAGAGAGAGAGAGAGAGAGAGAAAGAAAGAAAAAGAGAGCCCCCCAGGCGCAGGAGAGTAAAAAATTTAAATTTAACGTAATTTCAAGTGATTACCGCGTCCCGCTCTGTGATACACCCCTTATATACCCACCCCTTGATTGGCTTACATTGTCGATGCTTAACTGTTTCATGCACCACTGACCGACTACGGGGGGATATCATTGCTCGCGATAGGGGTAACGTTTTCATCGCTCCCGGCTGCTTTTTGCCATTGTCCTGTTTCGCGCGCATGTTAAAATTGTTGGTCGTTCGATGAATTTTGTTGATGGAAAAGAAAACAGAAAAAATAGAAAAGAAAGGAAGAAGAAGAAGAAAAAGAAGAAGAAAAAAATCAAGTGCCGTAAGAAAGAATTACCGTGGACATTAAAAGGTACGTCAATACTTTTGAATGTCGAAAATATCAAAATGATAATAAGAGGAAAATAAAAAAGTATGAAGGGTTGCTGCTTGGTGTCTTAGGATGTAATGTCCGAACGAAAATGAATTTACCAAGGTCACACGATACCATCTCCTTAACAATAATACACGGCAACGTGTTATGTATGTATGTACATGTGTGTGTATATGCACTGCGAGTAGGTATCGTGTGCTGGACAACGGAGATACCATCATCTCATTCAAGGATCAGGATCAGGACTGCAGTGTTGCATTACATCATCGGCTATGGCTATCCCTTAATGTACTGGGTGTTCTCCTTAACGAGAGAAACCCACAAATGAGCATCTTGTTACCGGAGATTTACACGAAATCGACACTAGTCGCGTTCGAATATTTCCTTGGAAATTTGTACTTTTGATCATGAATGATCTCACGCGAGAGAATGGTTGTTTATGAGACATTAACAGAAAAAAAAAAAAAGAAAAAAAAAGGAAAGAAAGAAGAGAGAAATAAAGAAAACAAAGAAAAAGAAAAAAAAAAAAGAAAAAAAAGAAAAACTTGAGCGGGAGCAACGAACGATGAAAACGTTTTATCCGTCAGGTGATTAACCTTTAGCAACGGTTGAGTATTATTATCGGAGTGGCAGGATATAAAAACTATAGCAGCCGCGGCCTGCCAAGAATGGCGTGGAGCGAACTGGTCTCCATTGTGTATTCCAGGTTTTATTGAGAGCCGTTCGAGTACTTAAGTAGGTATATATATATACAATATATATATATATATATTTTGTATATATATATATATATATATATATATATATATATATATATACACGATCAGAGTATGTAACTTATTTGAGAGACAATAATTCGATATGGTTCACGGATAGGAGAAAGAGAGACGGCGCTATGTCTTATAATATCGCGCGTAAATGCCTCTGTCGCAAGATTTACTACGTCTGATTAAGCAATTAAGCCGCTCCGAGCGCTTTGCGGCGTTTTTGTTGCGGTCCGGGAGCAGCTCGGTTCCTCGTTATACACTCTACCAGTTTTGATATAGAAGCCTGTCATCTCTTCGTCGTCGTCTTCTTTCTATCTCTATCTCCTCTCTCTCTCTCTCTCTCTCTCTCTCTCACACACACATACACACTCTTTCTCTCTTTCAATCTCTTTTCCTTTTCTACTTCATTCCTACGTTCGTTCGTTTGTTCGTTTATTCATTTGTCCTTCTCTTTTTCCTTCGACATTCGACCGATCATTCTACGAAGTGGCAAAAGGTAATAATACATTGAAAGTCCGGTCAGGTTAAACACAGTCGAGATGGTTTAATAATATCGTCATAGCACGTCACCATGCCGACGAATCAAAATTTTCTTCCATCGAAGATCGACGACGTTAATTACGAAATTGGATCGTTCCAATCATCGTTATCTTTTTCTCTTCTCTTTCTTTCTCTACCTTTCTCTTTTTCTTTTCCTTTTTCTTTTTTTTTTGTTTCCTTTGATAGACAGTTTTATTGTAATTGTACAAACTTTGTCGAAGTGCGCGAACGTGCGCGTCTATTAATGTGGGAATATTTCATATCGAAAAACCATGGTTCAAGAGCAGTTCGTGGATAACTCGATTAATGTGAGCACCAAACGAGGAGAAGCGAGGAAAAAAATCTCCGAGTTGATTCTTCGCGACGAGAAAGAATCCGTTTAACTAATTTCTCAACCGGAACGACCCACGGCGCCGGTTGTTGATCCATTTTATTAATTTTTCTCATTCCGCGCGATAATTCGATCCGGAGACGAGAAAGGAGGACTAAGGGTATTACTCAGAACTCTTACGCCCCCTCCCAAAAGTTTCCTTTTGTTTCTTTCCTTTTTTTTTTTTTTCTTTCATTTCTATATTTCGTTTATAAATATAAAAATATATATATGTATATATGTATGTATGTATGTATATATGTATGCGTGTGTGTGTATGTGTATGTAGACTATATAAATTCGTTCCTCAAGACGAGAAAAGATAATAATAATAATAATTTTACAATAACTATCTCATTTCGATCACGTTGTTTCTTTTTTTTTGTTTTTTTAAATTTCTTTTTCTTCTTTCTTTCTTTCTTTCTTTCTTTCTTTCTTTCTTTCTTTCTTTAGGTTTTTTTCTCTAAAGATCGACAAGGTTGACCACTCGAGGAGAGACCCTAAACGAGAATAAAACGCATTCGCGAAGAAAAATTAAATGCATTCACCGTCCCGAAAGTACGAAAAGGGCCAGAACGTAGGGGCGAATCAATTTCTGACGTACCGTCCTACGTGCCCGTGTAAACCAATTTCAGGCAATTTCGCGTCAAGAATAGCCTCTTCAACAATGAATTGACCCACGCGAAGACCTTTCCAATTTTAACCGATCTCGAGAATACTCGTAGAAAAGAGTGTATATATATATATATATATATATATATATATATATATATATATTCACACGCACAGACACGCAAACATCACGGAGTCTTCGATTTTGTCGCAAAATTCTACGTAATATTTCATTAAATTATATAAATCGTACCATGTTAACTCCCATTGAAAGTCACGTGAAAAGTAAAAAATAAAAAAAAAACAGAGAGAGAGAGAGAGAGAGAGAGAGAGAGAAATGAAAAAGGAAAAAAAAAAAGATTTTTCATTCGTAACATTTTTCGATCGAGAAGTAAGTAGTAAGTAAGTAATAAGTAAGTAATGTGTTCTCTCTCGTTGTTTTAAATACGATAGACGCAACAGTGTTTAGGTTGTCTCACGGTACTTCGTCAAGGTAGTTTTCGTCGGTTGAACGAGCAAGAAAGACGAAAGGATGAGAAAGAGGAAGACGTTCGACTAGTAGTGTAAGTGTATAAGAGAAAAGAGAAAAAGTCGAAGATTGCATCTCGAGTGGAGATGCTCGGCCAACCCAAGGGAATCCAGCTTGCCTTCAGGACAATTTTATCGTCTGAGTATTTTCACGGAGACGCGCGTATCCGCGTGTCCGGAGTGAAATTAGCGAATCTCCCTTTCCTCTCCTCTCCTCTTTTCCTCTTCTCTCTTTTCCCTTCTTTGCCCCCTCCCCTTTAGCCACCCACCGATTCCCTCGAGGCTGTCGAGAATATGCCCCCGGTCCAACGAAAAGAGGGGGTTGTCAAATGGATCGATGGAGTAACAGGGAGATACGTTGGCAGCTATGTTATCGTCGAGAATCCCCGGCCCACCCCGTCCCCCTTTTCCCTTTTCAATGTTCCGAGTTCTTGAAGTGTCAAATTTAATAAGCGACGACGATTCGACTCGACTCGACTCGATTCGACTCGGCTCGTCTCGTCTCGTCTCGACTCAACTTGTTTCCCACAACGAAGATAGTTTTATATTGAGATGACTGATCGTTGAAAGTGATATCTTATCGTTATCTCTTCAATATATTGTACAGATAAATGAAATGATAATATTATACTATATTATGATACTATACTATGTTACTATACTATGTTACTATAATACTACAATATATATATATATATATATGTATATATGTGTGTATATATATATGTATAAATATATTGAATATATATATATATATATATATATATATATATATATATATATATATATACAGATATACAAAACAATATGTATTATATGCGTCACAGTTTAATTTCCCTTCGACGTCGGTTAGAAACTTATTACATGTACCACAAAGGAGTCGATCCTGACTTCCGAGTAAATTTTCTTTACGGTGAGCGCATAAATTGCTGTGATAACTTCCTACATACTCCTCTCTCCCTCTCTCTCTCTCTCTCTCTTTTTCTATCTCTTTCTCCCATTCCTCCTCTCTCGTGTTTCATACTCTCTCAAACTTGTACAATGAAGAAAACCGAAGAAGATAGCTTACTATGTATTAAGAATTTCATACTATATATATATATATATATATATATATATATGATATGGCGATACGTCGAGCATACTTGAATCGTTCGTCAGTGCTAATTAATGAGCGGAAGAATGACGAAGAGATGGGACCAAAAGTAAGATAGATGGATAGATAGATAGATGGAGAGAATAAATAGAAAAAGAGAAAGATAATTAGATACATGAATAGATAAATAGATAGATAAATAGATAGATAGATAGACAGATAGATAAAGCGAGAGAGAGAGCAAGAGAGAGCGAGAGAGAGCGAGAGAGAGAGAGAGTGGTTAGTTTAGGATACAAGGAGCTCGATATCGTCCTTCAACGGCATCTTTGTAACATAGAAATGGAGAGGCATTAATTGCCTCTTGCATATGACCACGCGCACGCTCTTGTCAAGTAAGTAAGTAGTTGACACGACCACCTGGGGTCAATATCGTGCTAAGAATCGTCCTGTCTCTAGAGAGACGATAAATGGATCGATCCGATCGATCCGATCGACCATCACAGTCGAAAGGACGATGCTAAGGGGAAGAGAAATCAGGGGGTTGGTGAGAGAGAAAGAGAGAGAGAGAGAGAGAGAGAGGATTGATTGGGGATGGGGGCAAGGGCTGACAAAGAAAAAGAAAAAGAAAAGAATAAGAATGAAAAAAAAAAAAGAGAGAAATAAGTATCCAACAGCTTTCTCCTTTCTTTTTCCTTTTTCTGGCGAAACGAAAGAGGTCGTTCGTTCGTTTCATTTGTTCGATGAAATAATTTTTTGGGATACACGATGCACAAGGAGTTGCATTAATCTTCGACATTTCTTTTCGTGGAGTTTCGGTGGCGATGTATTACATGCAGATTTTTCGTGGGCTTCTTCGTTCCGTTGAACGTGGCCCCGGTCGTTAAAGTTTTTGCAACGTCGGCTGCACCTTCCTATCCGTTGGTTGCCTTAACGGATATGCGTGTGCACGCACACGTATCCTAAAACTTGCATGGTGTGAAAATATGTGTATATGTATACATATATATAAATATACATATATATATATATATATATATATATATATATATATATGTAAATAGATGTATGCTTAACGTGTTTACATATATATATGTGTTTATATATATGTATATATACGTATATATCTATATATATTAGATGGTTATCTCAAGGTGTTTACATCGAAAAAGAACGAATGATCGTTCTAAAAGGAACCATATAAGAGAAGAACTACTACAGTACTGTACATTAATTAAACAGTTATCTTTCTGCAAATCGGTTTCGCGTTTAATTCAACGTCCTAATGCAACTAACGCACGAGCGAACGAATGAGCGCGTACGCCGATATTTGGCTGTGTCACTTGCGTGTCCTTGCCATTTTCTTTTTTTTCCTTTTTTTTTCTCTCTCTCTCTCTCTCTCTCTCTCTTTCTCAAGATTTTACACTATCTACGAATAGTAAATTAAGAATAGTAGATATGTTAAAAAAAGAGTGTGCGTAGGTTGTTCGTGACGAAGGTCGAGTTTTGAAACTCTTAATAGATTGTTCCTTCTTTGTTGAATATTTTAGAAAAAAAATTTCTCTCTCTCTCTCTCTCTCTCTCTCTCTCTTTCTCTTTCCTTCTGTTTTTTTTCTTTCTCTCAAACATTACTTTCAACTCTAGCGTTAGAATGTACATCAAATTTGAATGCGTAATTTGACCTTCTTGGAGTCCAGCTGATCATATTATTATTGTTATTATTATTATTATTATTATTATTATTATTATTATTAATATTACTATTTTTATTCTTTTTCTTCTTCTTCTTCTTATTATTATTATTATTATTATTATTATTTCTACTTTTAATGTATATAGAAACGTTTCAAATACACGTACTAAGCAATGATTTTGCCAGTATGTTTAGTCGTAAGGACACGGTCTCGCATGCGTCCGGTTGATTTTTTAAGATTTTGTAATCTAGCCGGCGGTGTAACCGGTTTCCTTAGAAAGTGTTCCATTTTTCTTTTTATTTTTTTTTCTCTTTTTTCTTTTTATTTCTTCTTTGTCTATCTCACTTCTTGATACCGTACGACGCTATCTCGCAGCATCGATTGTAGCCGATAACCGTCAACACGAACTCGAGAAACGGCCGTCGCGAGTCTAATGCCTTTAATACGCTCGTCGAAAACTTCATCGGGGAGACGTAGCCATCGGCCTTTTATGGATCCGTGACATTTCACTGAGCGAAGTCATCTAAGTGCAGAATCGACGGACCTCTGTCTTTTTTTTCTTCTTTTCTTTTTTTTTTTTTTTTTTTTTTTCTTTCTACAGTGTAGAGAAAAAGAGAGAGAGAGAGAGAGAGAGAGAGAGAGATAGTAACATAATTCAAAGTAACTCTTTAATGGCTTTGATTTTAATTTATCTTTATAGACAACGTTTCGACGTGATAACGATTTCTTTTTTTCTACGGTGAAGATAGAGAGAGAGAGAGAGAGACTGGCATAATTCAAAGTAACTTTTTAATGGCTTTGATTTTAATATTATCTTTATAGACATGGTTTCAACTACTAAAGCATTTTAAAGATACGCGAATAAATGTTCAGAATCGATAACGAAAGGTTGAAGGCGGGGTTAGATGAAAGGGGGGGTGGGTGGGGCAAGGGACGATAGAAAAAAAAGAAGAAGAAAATAAAAAGAACAAAGCAAAAGAGAGAAATAAAATGTTAGAGTTCCTATCCAATCTCGGGTTCTCTCGAGGATAGAAGAAAAACAAAAAAAGGAAAAAAAAAAAAAAAAAGAAAACCAAAGAAAAAAAGAAGAGAAAAAGAACTAAAGAGGAAGAAATGATGAGTCCGAGTTTAATGGTTCACAAATCCATGTATTACGTGCATTTAACTCTTCGTATAGGATAAGTATGGTAGATTGAATCGCGATTACTTAACGCGACACGTACGTTTATTTTCTTTCTCTTTTACTCTTCCTTCCTTCATCAACATGTCGGAGAATAGAAAAGTACGGGACGTTCTGTGTTTCGATATCGGTGGCTGAACATTTGTCATTTTTCCATTTCCGCTGCAATTAGAACGTTGCGTATATGTGTGCTCGGTTAATGTTAGTTCTCTCTTTGCACGTCGTGATCGAGAGCAGCGCGTGCTCGAAATTATAACAGAGTGTCTTCTTTATATACATATGTACGTATAGATAGATACATACGTAGGTGTGCGTTTGTGTGTGTATGTGTGTGTGTGTGTGTATGTGCGCGTATTTCTATTCCTTTTTCTTCTCTCTCTTTTTTCTTTACGTAACACGTAAAATACAAAATCGCAGAGTTCCGTTGTTAGCTTTGTTTTTATATTTCTTCTATCATTTCGAATTTCGAACGTCTGTCACTTCTGAATATACGTATGTATTTATATGTTTCTATGTATGCATTTGGCTAGAAACACACATAACACACACATACACACACACACACACACACACACACACACACATATATATATATATATATACAAACAAATGATAGCGTATAAACGCGCGCGTGCACAAACACACATATCACAGTGCCAAGCAATTCCATTGAAAACCACAACGGCATTATGTCGGCTTACGTAAAGCAATCATTTTTACGGCATAATATTTGCCTTAGAGACAGTAGGTACGCGAGCGCTTAGTACGAATCGTTTGATCGGGTTGTTATTATTATTA